CTACAGGTACTGACCACCACACCTTGCTTATTTTTTAACTTTCTATAGGGATGAGTTCTTGCTATGTTGCCAAGGCTGGTCTCAAACTCTTGGGTCCAAGTAGTCTCGCGTCGGCCTCCCAAAGCGCTGGGATTACAGGCTGAGACACCGAGCCCAGCCATTGTTTATTAAAATTTAAACCCAAAGTGGCTGGGCATGGTGTCTCATACCTGTAATCCCAGTACTTTGGGAGGCCGACGCGAGACTACTTGGACCCAAGAGTTTGAGACCAGCCTTGGCAACATAGCAAGAACTCATCTCTATAGAAAGTTAAAAAATAAGCCAGGTGTGGTGGTCAGTACCTGTAGTCCCAGCTACTCAGGAGACTGACGAGGAAGGATAGCCTGAGCCCAGGAGGTTGAGGCTGTGGTGAACTGTGATCATACCACTGTACTCTAGGCTGGGTGACAGAGTGAGACCCTGACACCAAAACAAAAAACAAACAAAAAACCAAACTGGCTACAATAAAAATCAATCACTCATTCTGAAGGAATACTGACCTTTGCTAGTTGTTCAGCAAAATGTATAGCTGTTTTCGTATGGAGTGTAACTGGTCCTGTTTTTATTCTGGAAACGCCATTGGCTAATGCCATGAAAATAATCAGCTATGTAAAAAAGAACACAGAAAAATCTCACACATTTACCAATATGTGGAGTTATAATGCTACTGCTGTCTACAATGAAAATACTACTAGAAATCAAAATAGCTTTATAAATTTTTTATTTCATTAAATTTCAAGAAATCCTTAGAAGTTGATAGAAAACCTATACAGTATTACCCCAAGTCTGCAGGTAGTACAGAAAGGCTTAGTAGCAGTTCTCAATATAGAATCTTAAAAATTAATATTTACGAATAAAATATAGAGTTTAAAGCTAATATATACATATAATGAGACTATGTCTGCAAGCTAGTATATATAACAGGATGAGTTTATTCTATGATCTAAAATTACATTTTAGCAGGTGACTAAATAGAGTAAAACAGAATTACTACAAGTATAAAGTAGATTTGGGCAAGATAAAAGACTAGAAATAACATAAACTGTCTTAAGAAACAGATAACAAAATCTTGAAGATTTTATGTATATATGTATGTATATATTTTAAGATGGAGTGTCACTCTGTCACCTAGGCTGGAGTGCAGTAGCACACTCACGGGCACCCCAGCGTTGATCCACTGGGGTCCGGCGATCCTTCTGCCTCAGAGTCTTCCAAGTAGCTGGAACTACTGGTGCATGCCTGGCTAATTTTTGATTTATCATAAAGACAAGGTCTCACCAAGTTGCCCAGGCTGGTTTCAAATCTGCGGGCTCAAGCAATCCACTTGCCTTGGCCTCCCAATGTACTGGGATTACAGGTTGAGCCACTGAGCCCAGCCGCAGATTACATTTTTTAATGTAGACGCTGCTGATTTGAGATCAAGGAGAGAAGTTGGGTACTGTGGTTCACGCCTATAATCCCAGCACTTTGGGAGGCTGAGGTGGGAAGATCACTTGGGACCAAGAGTTCCAGACCAGCCTGGGCAACATAGTAAGACCTTGTCTCTGCAAAAATAAAATTTAAAAAATTAGCCAGGCATGGTGACACACACTTGTAGTTCTAGCTACTTGGGAGGCTGAGGCAGAAGAACCACCTGAGCCCAGAATATCAAACGCTGCAGTGAGCCATGATTATGACACTACACTCCAGCCTGGGTGACAGAGTGAGACTCTGAAGCAAAAAAAAGAGATGAAGGTGAGAAAAGCATGGTAGAAAGGGAAATCTATAGACAGAGGACCAGAGTAGGGACCGTGTTTCGCAACACTCAACAGCACTTCTCCACAGGAGTGAAGGTGTGAAGCTTTGGCGGCCACAACAGATCCACATGGAAACACAGCCAGGTAGAAGGGCTCTCACGAGCAAGGGGTCAGAAGGAAGGTCTGGCTGGTGATGCAAGCCTAGGAGCTGTTTGCGCACATACAGGCTCAAATCATGAGGCCAGACACGAGGGAGTGACTCGAGATGAGGAGACTGAACGTGAGTCTAGGGGCTTATCGGAATTTAGAAGCTGAGAAGGCTGAAACAACAATAAACCAGCAGAAGAGACTAGAAAACACAGCTGGCAAGGCAGGGAGACAACAGCCTTTCAGAAACCACGTGAGCTGAACGGGTGGCTTGTCCCTGGAGTCCCAGCCACAGGGCTGAGCATCACTGGAGTCTAGGGGTGTGAAGTTACAGTGAGCTATGATGGCACCACTGTATCCAGTCCAGGCAAGAGAATGAGACCCTGTGGAAGGAAGGGAGGAGGGGAGGGAGGGAGGGAGAGAGGGA